AATCAAAACTATTTAAAAAGTTGTGCAACGTTGTAAAAACTTGGTGGCGCTATCTTCGATTACAGTATATTATTACATTTTGATTTTCGTACATTGTCAGATTTAAAGCTCCTGTCCAATCCTATGCCATGCAGAGACTTATGAAATATTAAAAATAAAAAGGAAGGAGGCTTTTGATTGACGAACTGTATTGCTGTAATAAATGCTATACTATAAAAACCCACATAATATCGGTCAGACGGGTTGATTTACCTGTGCTGCGGTTCCTCCTTTACCCGTATCCGGACTTCCTTCACTTTCAGTTCCTGCAGTCCAATCGATTCGCTGGTAATTAAACATGGAGAAAGTTTCGAACTCGTCTGTACCGACTACTAATTGAAACGTGTTTCGCTGAAATTAAAATGTATTAAAAAAAATTTGAGTTAGGCCTGTGTGGTATCGTTTTAGTACAGGTTATGACGATTATCTCCTAGGTAGACTACTGCAATAATTATTATCAGGTAAAATTGTGTATGCTTATAATATATACGTTTTATTCTACTTCGTAACTTTCGAAAATGAATAAGCATATAGATAAGTGTATTATTTTTATATAGAAAGTGTTTTTTTTTTGTATTGTTTGTTGTGATTTATATCATAAATCCAATTGATTTCACTTGAAACATATATAGCACAATACCGGGTTATTGTTGCCCTTTTCACCATAAAACCCAACGTCTAGCCACGTTGCAATGATTAAGAACTTTGCTTTAAAATCCATATAATCAACGAAATATTCGTGGATTTCTTCGTTGAATCGTTGTAGTAGTTCTTCGTCCGTCTCCTGTCTGTAGTATACATAGCCCCGATTCTCCAGATCAACATTCGCCCAGAACGGTGCAACCATGATCCGCTGACTCACAACCTAAATCAACAAAAGTACGTCTATTGATGTGACAATATAAACGAATCATAAACACTCCAGGCCTATGGTATAAGACAATGATGGTTTAATTTTGTAACGCCAACAAATTTCTCATGATCTTTTATCAGGAATCTACTTAATATCCAGGACAACGTAGGCCTAATTATAGCTTACTAAGCTTTAACTATATATACTATAGTATGATCAACAAATGACAACTTTTTTTT